GTCACTGTTTGCCCCCAGTCAGGAATTACTAGGATCAGGAACCCTGGGAAAACACTGCTACCCGAAGCCCAGGCCCCCGTGTATACCCACGGTGCTGCCTGATTGCTTGGAGATTCCTGGAGTGTCTGAGATCGTTTTCCACTTAGGAGTGAACGGAGTGGAACAAAGAGCCCCAGGGCCAGGCTCCCCCGCCATCCTCAACCCCACGGGGACACCTTCCATCCTGCATCTTCCCACCCACATTTCCCCCCCACCCTGCAGAATCCAGGACAGAGACCCCAAACCTCTTGTCCTCAGTTGTCCAGCAGACCCAGAACTGGAGCTGAGAGGACTGTGAGGCCTCACGCGCAGCTGCCACTGCCCTCCGCCACAGGCGCTCGCCTCCTGCTGGTCCCCCTGCCCACCGGAGTCACAGGATGAGGAGAAGCCCTTCCCTAGACATAGACACAGGCCCATTCCTGCTGTAGAATGGGCCTGTTTGCTCCCTGTACACTGTGTGCTCCCTGCTCTGCAGAGGGCCCATCCCCCTCCTAAACCAGAACCCCTTGGTGCTGGAGCCCGTGCCCATCATGCCTCTACTGTACCAGCTCCGGGACCACCCCCCACCACACCCCCAAAGGCCCTCATTACGCTGTGGAGTTTTAAAAAGCACCTCACAGGCCAGGCTCAGTGACTCAGTTTGTAATCCCAGCACTTTGGGAGGCCAAAGTGAGTGGATTGCCTGAGCCTGTGGGTTTGAGACCCACCCAGGTAAATTGGCAAGACCTCGTCTGTACAATAAATCAAAAAAAAAATTAGCCAGGCATGGTAGGGCGCGCCTGTAGTTCCGGCTACTTGGAAGGCTGAGGCAGAAGGATCGCCAGAACCCAGCAGGTCGAGGCTACTCCAGTCTAGGTGACAGAGTGAAAAAAAAAAAAGCACTCACTGTGGGTGACCCTAGTGAAGACAGAGAATAGGATCCATGAGCTGCCACTCACCCCATTTCTGTGCCTGCAGGAATCCCCACTGTTCTCAGCAGTGCTCCCAGTGAAAGCCACAGGCGCCCCCTCCCCACTGAGCAGTGCCCTAGAAAAGCTCTTCCTGCCCTGTAGCCTAGATATGAGGCTTCTGGCCGCGATACAGCTGCCCAGATTCACCTACCCACCAAGCAGCAGAAACCCCCTACCCATGCCTGCTGTGCTGGGTGCCTGGCCAGCTCAGACCCTCCCAGGAAAGGGAACTGCATTCAGAGAGAGGCCAAAACAGTGACTGGGTCACAAGTTACGACCCTACCCTGAATGTGCCTGGCACTGGGAAAGGTGCTTGCTGAGTCTCCTGTACCTTTCTGCTCGCAGTTGTTAACCCCCACCCCAAAGATGCAGCTAGAGGTGATCTGAGTGACCAGAGAGGATTGAGAGGACCCTGAGGGGCAGGTGAGAGCTGTGGGGAAGAGGTTTCTAGAGGTTTCCCATTGGGATGGGTAGAAGGTCTCCAGGGAGGCAGGCTGTGTTGGGTGGAAGGAGACAGCAGAGGGTATGGGGCAGCCTCACACACAAACCTCTCTTATCTTGTCAGCAGCCAAGTTTGGTTGCAGAATCCACTTCTCAGCATCTGTGGATTTGCATGGTTAATGGCCTTAATCTGGCCTCATGGCATCCAAGCGAGGAGCATCATTCTTCTCCCTTGCCCCTCCTTCATCAGGACGTACTGGCCGGCCAGGAATCCACACCATGCTGCCTTGCTGGTCTCCAGATGTGGCCAAGCCAGGGCCCAGGACCTCCAAGACCGTGCCAGTCCCGGGGTACCATCGACAGGCTTATGTAGTCCCACCAGATAAGCTCGCTTTGCTTTCTGGGACTTGGTCTCAGGGCCTATCCTTGGCTCTGGAGCTGCAAGCCAGTTCAGCAAATATTCAGATTCCAAGAGGTCCTTCTTCTGGCTCCTGCTGACGTGTGTGTTCGGGCACAACCAGGGCTGGGCCCTGAAGCAGCCCCCTAAGGGGACAGCCCCACGACAGGCCTCAGTCAGAGTGGTGCAGCCAGCAGAGAGGTGGAGACACACCACTGGCCTGATGTGGTCTCTGGCTGGGCGGGCATCACAGCCTCTTTCCCCAACCACACAGTGAGACCTGCCCAGGCAACATGCCAGGAACAGCTCCTCCTGGGGATGCCCCCTTGGAGTCCCTGCCCCCTGTCGTGACAGCCACTGTCAAGCTTCGGCTGCCTGCATCATTTTTCAGAAATTCACCATGAGGATATGACTTTGGATTATTCAACCCCTGCTTCCCAGATCTCTGCTCCCATCCCTGGGCTCCTTCCTGGAGAAGTGTGCACCTTCCAAGGCCTTCCAGGCTGGAGGTGGGTCCCCTGAGAGCTGGCACATGTTTCTCTGGTTCCTCAGGTGCCGGTGGCTGCGGTTACTTTGCATCCCTGACTCTTCCGGCACTGAAAGGTTCAGGGTATCCTCAGCTCTGAAACTTCACGATTAATTCATTATGCTGAGCACTCAGGGGACCCTGTCTATCCGGAAATGACACCCTTCAATCCTGGGCCATGCTCTTGTTTTATTTCTCTGGTCTATCTTTCTGGAACTCCTGTTAGTTGCAACGTGGACCTTCTGAAATGGTTCCCTAACTATTTTCTTAATGTTTTTCTCTGGCTTTTTTTTTTATTTTAAGAAAGCAGGATGTATTGAGAGGACAGAAAAGCTCCCACAGTGGAAGGGGACCCGAAGGGGTTGCCCCTCTCCTGCTTTCTATACTTTCATCTTGTTCTGCTCTGGGAGATTTTCTCAACTTTACGTTCTATCTCTTCTATTTATTTTTATTTATTTATTTATTTATTGAGTCAAGGTTTCACTATCACCCAAGCTGAAGTGCAATGACATGATCATGGCTTACCACAGCCTTGACTTCTAGGACTCGGGTGATCCTTCCACCTCATTTGGGACCACAGGTGCACACCACCAATGCTCAGTCAATTAATCTGGTTTTTTTTGTTTGTTTGTTTGTTTTGAGTTGGAGTCTCACTCTGTCGCCCAGACTGGAGTGCAGTGGCCACTCCCGGCCACCGCAGCCTCGACCTGCTGGACTCCGGCGATCCTTCTGCTTCAGCCTTCCAAGTAGCTAGAACTATAGGCGCGCGCAACCACGCCTGGCTAATTTTTGATTTATTGTAGAGATGAGGTCTCGCCAAGTTGCCCAGGGGGGTCTCGAACCCGCGGCCTCAGGCAGTCCACTCACCTCTGCCTCCCAAAGGTGTGGGATTACAGGCTGAGCCACTGATCCCAGCTTGTTTTTTTTTTTTGTTTTGTAGAGACAAAGTCTTGCTATGTTGCCCAGGCTGGTTTCTAACTCCTGGGCTCAGGCAGTCCTCCCCCAGTCAGCCTCTCAAAGTGCTGGAATTACAGGGGTGAGGCACTGCACCTGGTCCATAGTTCTACTATCATATTTTCACTTCCTAGAGCCCATTCCTTTTCTCTATTACTTATTCCTTGTTTCTTGGATGTTGTGTCTCTTTTTATCTCTCAGAGGGTGGTAAAGCTGTTTGTTTCTAGGCTTTTTGCTGCTTTGTGCGTTGTGTATTTTCTCCTGATTACTTTCTTGCTGGTTTCTGTGTTTTATGTCAAAATCTTCTCTGAAGTGTCTGGTGACATCTTGCCTCCCCTCCTCTTGAAGTGATGGAGGGATGGGAGGATTAACCAATGGACCATGCACCCAAGAACTGTGGGCCAGGATTGGCCTTCTTACCAAAGACCAATGTCAGTGTATATAGGTTACTTTTTCTTTTCTTTTTTCTTTCTTTTTTTTTTTTTTGAGTTGGAGTCTCACTCTGTCGCCAAGGCTGGGGTGCAGTGGCACACTCCTAGCCACCACAGCCTCGACCTGCTGGGCTCAGGGGATCCTTCCACCTCAATCTTCCAAGTAGCCGGAAACACAGGCGCACACTACTACGCCCAGCTCATTGTTTTATTTATTGTAGAGGAAAGATCTCACCATGTTGCCCAGGCTGGTCTTTTTTTTTTAAGTTATTCTCTAACCTGGTGTGTCCAGGTCTAGGGGCAGCTACCTGGAGCTGTTCCAACTTGTTGAAGAATAAAGAAGTGGTACTCCCCTTTCCTCAGCTCTGCCACCTGGCCTGGCCCAGAGTACCTGCTCCATCACAGAGCAAGAGATGGGGGTGAGAAGGGAGCCCATGTGGCCTGGTCGCTGACTGACTGTCCTGCAAAGTCTGACTGCAGCCCAAGCCTGCACACCACACCGGAGAATGAGAGCCTTTGCTGACAGGAACTGCCTTCCTCTGAGGGTGGTTTGAGGGTCTGCTGTGGTCCTTAGAGCTGATTCCTGGGGACTCAGCCTCACCTCAAGCAACTTCTCCAAGGTCTCCCAAACAGGGGCTCTGGGAAAGCCAGCACCCTCAAGCTGGTACTTTTCCAGAATGTTGTACTTGTCAGCTGTGTGCCCCCGCCTCCTACGTGCATTCTGATGATGAGGGCTCACTTTCCTCATCATTAGAATGGAAGTGTTGACCCTAAAGACACCAGGCTCCTTCCTGCCCCAACCATTTGTGATTAGGTCACCCTCACCCAGTACCTGCTGCCCCCTCGGGCAGAGCTTGATGAGGAAACTGTCACCTTCCAGGATAGCTCCGGGGACACTCAGAGGCTGTCTCTTGAGGTGCCTCTGATCTTTGACCTGGACCCCACAGGGGTCATCCATCCATGCAGCATGGCTTTGGGAACTGGGGAGCACTTGGTAGTCTAGGAACCTCGGGGTACAGGACAGAGAGATCCAGGGCTGTGGATAGTGGGGGACTAAGGGTGGACTTACCCAGGCTAGCTTTCCTGTCTTCCTATGCAGAAAGTGGGCCTCGGGGTCCCTGACCCAGTGTCCCCATTTGCCTCCAATACTCTTCCCTGCTCAAGGCCCTGGCAACCTGCTGGACTGCTGTCAGCGTTGAGGAGAGCTCTGTGGTCACATCCCAGAGGTGTGGAGGACATGACCTATGATGGTTTGTTTTCAGGGTCCTTCCTGGGAAGATGACCTACTATGGAAAGTGCATTGAAATGGTAATTGAGCAACTGGACAGATTTAAGCCTGGGAAGGACAACCCTGAGCTGTTCCTGGAGGCTGCATCTACCTCCCTGCAGGTAGGGTCAGGGATCTGCGCGGGATCCTGGGAGGCCAGGTCAATGGCCTGTCACATGGCTGTTCACTTTCCAGAAAACAGCATCAAATTTATTCCTAACAACTGCTTCCTTCCTCATGGGAGAGGCCTGAGACAAGACCCTAAGTCATGATGTTCTTTTGTGACCGAGTACTTCATTTCAAAATATAGTTCACAAGTGTTTTTTCTTCTGTCTCACTCCTAAAATGTAGCCTTGAAACATGCCTGAGTGGTTTCTTTCCTCCCTTTCTGGATGGATTAACCACAGCCTTAAGTCACCTCCGGTTTTCCACTGAGTCCCCCTCTTTGTCTTGGGGTGCTACTGGCACCCAGTATGTGCCTCAGACCAGACTCTGGTGGAAAATAGCATCGGCCAGAAGTCAGGGGACATAGCATCCATGCTGTGGTGAGCCCCTCCACTCACCACCCTCTCTTCAGAGGGCAGCTTCTCTCGAGAAACATTTCCCCCATCCCCCAAGAGCCTGTCACGCAAGGGCAGTGAGGGCGGTTGTGGCCATGACTAGTGCTGTGTTTGTGGTCACCTGAGAGTTGGTGATCACTGACCAGGCCTCCAACAGAGAGGTAAAGCTAGCCTGGGCAGTGAGACCTGGAGAGCCAAGGGACTGCAGATGTACCCCAATCTCCTTCATCTTCCTACCCACACCTGAATGCAAGCTTGGCCACTCACTGCCCAAAACCAAAATCGAGAGAGGAGAGATGGTGAAAGGAAAGTGACTTTATTCCAAAATCCAGTAGTTGGGGAGATAGCCAGCCTCATGCCTCTCATAGACCATTTCAACTTTTGGGCTGTGTGCAGGGGTTTAAAAAGAGAAACTGGGTACAGGGAGCATGCAGGAATGACAATGGGTGCTAGTCTGCGCACCTTGTTTCATGACTCTCTGGAATCATTCCCCATCCAGTGTTCGGGCTGGTACCATCTCTGAGTTGTGGATTAACCACAGCCTTGAGTCATCTCCAGGTGGGAGAAAATCCCACCACTGTCCAGTTTGCTTCAAGATTAGTCCCCGGAAATTTTTTTTTTTTTTTTGAGTTGGAGTCTCACTCTGTTGCCCAGACTGGAGTGCAGTGGCCGCTTCCGGCCACCGCAGCCTCGACCTGCTGGGCTCCGGCAACCCTTCTGCCTCAGCCTTCCGAGTAGCCAAAATTATAGGCGCGCGCTACCACGCCCGGCTGATTTTTTGATTTATTGTAGAGATGAGGTCTTGCTGTCCAGGCTGTTCTCGAACCGGCGAGCTCAGGCAATCTACTCACCTCAGCCCCCCAAAGGTGCGGGATTACAGGCTGAGCCACCGAGCCCGGCTAGTCCCCAGAAATTTTAAGCAAGCATATAGTGAGTTAAGTGAATACAACGCAAGGGAGTATCTGGTGGGAAAGGGAGAAAATAAACCTTTCAGACATGTTTCAAGGCCACATTTTAGGAGTGAGAAAGAAGAATAAAAACTTGTAAACTATATTTTGAAATGAAGTACTTGGTCACAAAAGAACAGGCCCTTGAGGCTGGCAGTCCAGTGCCTTAGCTTTTTTTTTTTTTTTTTTGAGTTGAAGTCTCACTCTTGTCACCCAGGCTGGAATGCAGTGGCATACTCACTCACTGCCACTGCAGCCTTGACCTGCTGGGCTCAGGCAATCCTTCTGCCTCAGCCTTCCAAGTAGCTGGAACTACAGGCGCACGCCACCACGCCTGGGTGGTTTTTGTGATTTATTGCAGAGACAAGGTCTCATCAAGTTGCCCAGGTTGGTCTCAAACCCCCAGCTCAGGCAAACCCCCAGCTCAGGCCTCCCAAAGTGCTGGGATTACAGGCTGAGCCACCGCACCCGGCCACACCTTAGCTCTTATCCTCCCTTCTCCAGGTGGTCCTTGTCCTTTTTGTCCCCATTTCAAGTCAAGAGACTGGTAGTCTGCTGGGCTGAAGTCTCCTCAAAGGTCTGTTCTGGCTCCAGCATCACCCGCCATTTCCGCAGCCCGCCCTCCTCGGGGCTTCCCAACCCTCCGATCACTGCCCTCACCCCACAGCTCTGGCCCCCACATCCGTCCTCCACCCATGGCAGGTGTTCAGAGAACAGAAGCCTTGGATTGCAGGGGTCTCACCTTCAGGAATTTGGGGTTTGGACCCCTCGGATAGGCCTCCAGAGGAAGCTGAACCCACAAGGGGAAATGCTGCAGGACTATCACACAGGCCACCACTTGCCTGTCGCTGCCCAGGAGCAGGGAGAGAGGACTGGCCCTCCCCTCCAAGGAAGGGGCCATTTTGGTAAATGCATTAAATAGGGATGTTTGCCTTTCACTGCAGCTGCAGCCTGTCTGTGACTGCTTCTTTAGTTTGACCTGGCCTGCGTGGGCTGGTTTACTGCCAAGGTCTTCGAGGGGCTGCCTTGGCCACACCCCAGCCCCCAGACTGCTTAGGTGGCTTCTGTGCTGTGCCCTAGGCCACAGTCTGAGCCCACCTTCTCTTGGGGCAGGGTGGGGTGGTTTCTCCTACATTAGCTGCCCTTGTAGCGGCATCCAGAAAGCCCAGAGGGGGGAAGGAGTGGGCTTCTCCCCTGTCCTGTGGCCCATCCCTGCCCCCAACTTCCAGAACGGATGCCTCCTCCCATGGGGTCCTGGAGATCCGCAAGAACTGGGGGCCAGGCAAGGCCAGTCTGCAGAGTCAGGGCCCTCAGGAGTGCCCCAACCTCAGCACCCACAGCTCCCAACTCTTTCCCTGAGTCGCTAAGCATTTTGGGGAAATGCTGAAAACAGCTGAGGCCCAAGCCCAAGCCCGTCCACGTTCTTCTTCCCCAGTGGAAGGCTCTCAGGCAGTGTGTCCTCCCTTCCCACCAGCCTGCCCCTCCCCAGGCATGACCACAGCAGATGCAGCAAAGATCCCAGGACTCCAGCCCAGAAACCCCTCTGGGAAGGGCCCCACCCTTCCCTTGTCTCCCGGCCCCATGATGCGGCCCCTCTGACTTATTCCAGGGCAGCTTCAGCAGCTCCTCTCCCTTCCCCCACCTCTCTCTTTCCCTCAGGGGGGCCTCCCACCCCTTTCTCCCTCCCCTTC